CCCAGTTGTATTTAACAAAAATTACAGAGTTACTCAGTAAAATAGGAAAACCATATCGTAACATCTTCAATCCATCATCAATCCATTGTCTGACATTGTCACTATTCATGCGCTTCATACAAATTCCTTTGTGTTCCCACTCTTCCTTTCTTGATCTTCCCCCATTTTCTGCTGCCAGATATTACGTTTACACTCGCGTCATATACTACTTATAAGTAGCGCGCACCACACTCTGATTGATTAACAAACAGATCAACTTCAATCTTCTGGTGTTTTATAGCAGTCCTCTAAAACCTGACTTATACGTTCCAAACGAAATGATGGTTGATCTTTTCATTTGATAAATTAGAAAATTTTAAAGCAATAAGCTTAAACCTTATAATTTTATATTTTGAAATTAAACCTAATGGGTAAATAAAGCTATCTATCTATCCATTGAAAAATCAATCGTATGACAGGAAATATCAGATTTTTTTTTTCTTTTCTCTCTAGAAATTTCCTTCTTAAAGAATAATTTTCAGTCATATTGAACACATTGAACGTGATACAACATATTAGGAAATAATTCTTTGTTGTTTATTTATTGCATAGGTGATAATTTGAAAATTGATGCTAAATCAAACAAACAAAGATTGTCAGTAAATAAGTGAGATAATAAAAAAAAAATATTTTCATGAAAAATAAATTTATAATCCTAAATAAATCAATCAATAAGTAGTAAATCAGTATTTGCAATCAGTATTTTTGATGCAGAGATGTATTTTCACAGTGTAGTGGTAGGCCTGGTTTAGGAATTGACATTTAATCAGAGAATTTAATTCTCTGAAGTGTATTGTTTCGTGATACAATGTTGTTATGAATAAACATGGTTGTAATATGGTGAATGTGGATAGATGATAGTCTTAATTTTAAAAATAAAAATTATCTGAAATTTTTTTCTCTTTACAGAGGTGATGTTGTAGTTGTTTGACCAAGATTAAAATGGTATGTATAAATTTTGCGTTCTGTATGTTTGTAGATGTTTGCATAATGCAGTCGTCTTGCTTGGATTCTGCCGCCAACATTAATGTTGGTTTAATAAGTGCATTGCACAATTTCTTAAGCTATAATACAAGCTTAACCAACAACAATAATCCGCCACCTCATCATAATCAAGACTGTTTTAGTTGCTCGGTATTTGACTCCATTCTTGGAAAAACAATTCAATATGCTATGGAATAAATCTTTCCACCGATTTCCATAGAACATGCTTAGGTGGAGGACCCTGTTGTGAACATTAACTCGGGCAGAATAGGTTAATAAGTTTGTCCAGAAGCTAGGACAAACCGTGAGGGTTCAACATATTAGTACACATACTACACTGTTCAGGAAATTGTTATCTGGTACCAGGGTAGAACAATGGAAAATAAATTTTTGTGTACCTTCTTTGGTGATGATTAGGACATTGGTCATTTCAACACGCCCACTATGTTATAACTGTATCAAATTTTTGATATATTTATGATGTTGTATATCATATTATAAACACTTCTATGCTTATAAGATTGATGACTACTACGGTGTGTGGTCTGAACATATACTGTAAAATGATATCAATTCGAATTATATATTTTTCATACATGAATACAGATGGCTCGACTGACTTTTACCACTATGTATTGCTTATGGCGTCAGTGAGGTATCCGTCTGCTCACCGAAGGATGAGTTTACTGTGCAGCAGTCTACTCCGTACTGCTTAACGATTGTGATATGGGACCAATAAGAACATAGGATATTTTTTGGGTTACTAGAATTCAATCATAGATATTTTCGAAGCATTGCTCGTATAACCTGGGGTCACCGAGTAAGTAGTTCGGGTGTTAAAAGAAAGGCGATGGGCAAGGACGACGAATCACTTGGTGAAGTAGTGAATGTTCATCAGGTAAGGCGGTTGGGTCATATTTTATACATTTCTAACCACCGACTGACTCAAAGAGCAATGTTTTGCGATGTATGAGTAAGCTGGAAGAAAGCTCGGAATGGACAAACTAAAATATGACACAAATCTATAGAGACACTGACAAGTGGAATGTACCACTTTCGTGGGTGTAGACTACCAGTTTAGGGTCCGCGATACAATCGTAATCGATGGTTAGTGACCTTGAATGACACGAATGAAAATGGCCTGCAATGAGTCCAGGTGCATTCGTTCTTTGTCTTCTCTCAAATTGTAGTGTATATATATATATACACTACATACTACACCATGTTCGGGATGCGGTTCTCACCCTCGAAATTCAAAATGTTGCTTCAAGACTGGGTTGCATCGGCACCTGAACTAGTGATAGGGAGTAAAGCGGTCGAGCGTGTGGACCGCTTTACTTATCTGGGGAGTCTCATCAGTGCTGACGGCCTGGTGACTGACGAAATCTCAGCACGGATACAGAAGGCTCGATTGGCTTCGGCCAACCTGCGTCACTTATGGCGTAGGTGAGATATCCGTTTGCTGACTAAAGGACGAGTGTACTGTGCGGTAGTTCGCTCCGTCCTACTTTATAGCTGTGAAACATGGCCGTTAAGAGTTGAGTATATTCGTCGGTTATTTGTTTTGCGATCATAGGTGTCTTCGAAGCATTGCTCGTATATCGTGGAACACCCGAGTGAGCAACGCTGTTATTAGGAATCGGGTGCTAGGTAAGAATGGCATATCAATAGATGAAGTGGTGAAACTTCATCAGTTGAGGTGGTTGGGACATGTGTTGCGTATGCCTAACCACCGACTGCCTCGACGAGCTTTGTTTTGTAGTGTAGGAATAGGTTGGAAGAAAGTTAGGAGCGGCCAAACCAAAACATGGCAGAAATCCATGAAGTCATTGACGAGTGGACTGAGCCATGTCGGTAGTTGTCGACTACCTGGTTGGGGTCCGCGAGATGATAATAATCGATGGTTAGAGACCTTGAATGACATGGCTGAAAATCGTTCGCAATGGCGCCAGTGCATTTATTCTTTGTGTTCTCTCAAATCCTAATCTTCTGGATTCTTCAACACCTCTAGTTTTGAATTTCTAAACTTTTCCTACTGAATCATACTTCTTAAATATCTTCTCATCCTAACCTCTTCGATTACTTCTAATACCTTTACTACCTCTTCTACCATTGGATTTGAATTGACAATTATATCTCTGCGCTGATGTGGTATATGGCAACATGAACTGATGTACTTACGTACGAAGTTCTACGTTGCATCTGACTGACTGACTAACTGACTGACATACTACACCAAACAATATATCTTAACTGATACTTTATTTTTCTTCAACACAATATTTAGCTATCAGCATTAATAGTTTTATCGTTTGGTGCAATTTTAATGTGGGGCAAAGATGCGATCACAAGAGAATTAAATGAAGCAATCAGACCATTGATTATGAAATTGTATAATGAAGAATATGCACAAGATTTTACAGAGTTAGCAGGGACTATTTTACAATCTACAAGTAATGTACATATTCAATGTTGAATTGTTCTTTTTGTAAACGTGAAATATTTGTAACAATTGACTGACTAATCGAGTGACATCAGAAAAACCATTGAAAATAATTTTTCATTCAATGTTATCAATACAGCAAGAAAAACAATTGACTTACTTGATCAACAAAAATATGAATATAAATTAATTTTTGAGAGTTTTCGGAATAAATTAAAACCGGAAAAAAACGCACAAACTAGAGAATTAAGAGAAAAGTGGAACTTTTGCGCATTTGTTGTTAACTGTTCACTGTTGAATTATTTCCCCTTAATTTAATTAATTAATTAATTAATTAATTAATTTTTGTCTCTACTATTAATATAATCAATGTCTGTCACCCCTCGTAGAGCATATAGGCCACTGACCAGCTTTTTCTGGTTAGCTTTTTTCTAGCAAGCTGGTTTTCTACCGGTATATGGTCGCTAATCCACTGCCCAACCCTCCTGCTTAATCCAGGCTTAGGACTGGCATTATAACTCTTGAAAGGCTTTAGGTGGAGTTATGGATTGTGGCTAGTTGTGACATAATCGATGTATCGAAGTATTTCGCAGAGGATAGATATTAGTTCAAACTAAGACTGCATAAAATTCAGACAAGAATATCAACAGTGAATGTTAAGATTTACACACTGTTTTACAGACTAGTGGTTATCAATGATCAGTAGCTCAGTGAATAACTCAGTAGATGTCCGACGAATAAGGTAATGCTCCTGGTGTGCTGACGAGTTCATCATACAATCTAATGTACATTGGATAAAACTAACTAGTTTTCCTTAGAAACTAGTTAAACCCGGAAACTTTTTATCGTACTTTGTATTCAAATATGTAGAGTTATTTTTATAAAATTTGATTTTTGAAGCATGACCAATAAACATTGTTCAAGGTTGATCCTAAATTCACTTTACTTCATATGCTTTAGCAGTTTTTTTTCTGTTGTTCTTAAATATTCCCAAGTTTATTCAATAACTTAAAAAAAATCATTTCTACCAGATTGTTGCTTGTAGGCTAGTAAGTAAGAAAAAACCAATAGTATAGAGTATTAACACTGATTTCTCAAGCACTAATTTATAAATATGCTAAGTTTCGGGTGATTTTAATTTTTGTATTCAATATGGTCATACTTTCCGGTCATCAGCCACAATACAACAATACGGAATCTGTAACTCACATATCCTCTCGCGTACACACACATCCATTTTTGTATTTTTGATAGTTGTTTTTGAGTGAAATCATGAATCCTTTATAGAGTCCCAGTATTTTCAGGTTTCCAGTGGTGGTCTAACAATGACTGATTAACGATTTTAATATAAAACAACAATCATAAATAACATACAATGTGCTCACTAGAATGACTAGCTTCGTGAGGGAATTCTTCGAGTTCTATTGAGAAGCCATGACTAGTGTAATTCAACTGTGTCAGGTGTAGGCAGTAACTACTGGAGACAAAAGGCGGGGTTGAGCAATACCTTGAATTGATCAAAGTTCAACATCTCCACCGAAAGAAACCGAGTAAGTAGTCTAGAGGTTAAGCGTTCTCGCTCGAGATCAAAGGTTCTTTCTGTGTTCGACTACCGAGTTCGGACGTCGTGGATGTGCACTGGTGCTGAGTTCGTCCCATACATAGAACAAAATGGTCGTCCAGTGCTTACAGGTTTCTTACGGTCGTCTAACAACCATTGATTCACGATTCCTATGAAAAAATAGGAAACATATTGTCAAATTGCATCTGACAGATTAACAACGAATTCTGAAATATCGATTGATTGTTTTCATCTATAAAAAATCATTGCTTTGCTTCTGTTTATTTCTCTTATATAAAAAATTGCATCGCTTCTGTTTTTTTTTCTCAAAACGTTTTCAGGTCCGTTTGGTTTACTTTTATTTATATTGGGATTAGTATCATTTGGAATTTGTTTATTTGGTTTCTGTGGTGCAAGTTGTAAAAGTATTGCTTGCCTTAAAGTGGTATGTTTATAAAACTAATCCGTTTTGATAACTAGTTAGTTATGCTGAATTGTGATTATTGAAAAATGAATATTGAATTAAAATTTTCAAAAAGTACGAATCATGCATAACATTTTTCTGATATTATAAAACACTAAGAATTTTCAAATAATAAGAATGAAACTTAGTTGAAATCACAAGTCATCACTACTCAATGTGTTCCTTGGCCTTCCACTTTTCCTCTGACCTTGAGGCTTCCAAGTGAGGCCTTGTCTTGTGACGTAGTCGGGTGCTATCCGCAGTATGCGTATTATTCACTTCTAACGATTCTTTCTGATTTCCCCCTCCGTTGGAATTTGGTTTGTACTTTCCCACAGTAGGTTGTTGCTGATGGCATCTGGCCAACGTACCGGAGGTATATGGCGTAGACAACTGTTAATTAATGCTTGTATCTGTTGGATGATGGCTTTGGTAGTTCTCCAAGTTTCCGCCTCATACAGCAGAAGTGTCATGACATTTGTATTGAAAATTGTGACTTTGGTATTTGTGGATAGATGTTTTGAGTTCCAGATGTTGTTCACTTGATTTCCCGATCCACGCCTTATCATCGGCATCAGATACACCTTGCTCATCTATGATGCTGCCCAGATAAGTAAAGGTGTTAACGTGCCCCAAGGTATCTTCATCAAGATTGATTTGGTTGGCGCATGTTGTGTTGTATTGGAGAATCTTGCTTTTCTGTTTGTGTATGCTGAAACTTGCTGTTGCTACTCCTTAGGCTGCATGAGCGTAATAATAAGCTTTTCATTAATTTCTTATTGTATGTATTATTGTCAAAAAACTAACGAGAATATTTTGCGTTATTCTAATATTTGTTTTTTCTATCATGAACTGAGTACAGTGGAAAACTGTGACTGGTGTGAACTGAACTTTATGATCCTTTGTAACTTCCCGGTATGATTCATTCATTCTCATCAATCATCATGTGCACTGAGTCATCAAATGCATAAATTCAACAAATGATGACTCATATAATTTGACTTATATCAATCACTGAATTATTATACTGTTCTAGTCTGTAATTTCGTCTTTGCTGCACGCACGTACTCCACATTAATTTAACACAAAATGCATTCCTGTTTGTCATTAAATGTAACCACCGGCTAGATAAGATAGATCAACACATTTTATTCGTAAAATAAATGATTGAAAGCACTTGCTTTTAACTTAACACCTGTTAGTTAGCCCCTGATGAAGCAGTATAAGTGGTCTGTCAGCATTCTTCAACTTAATCTATTCTGGGCTAGTTCTCTACTCAATTTCTCTAACTTTCTTTCATCATGTTTATCCTCTAATACTCGGTGCATTGTGCTCCTCAGTCTCCTTCGTTGTTGACCTTGAGAATTCCAAAAGTTCACGTTTGTCATGATTAAGTAAACACTATTTATTCTATTGAAATATTTGACATTGATTTTATTTAAAAAATATGATGAAATGATATTTTATTTTGTTTTAATTTATTTTTTTCATTTATAGTATATAGCATTACTGTTAGTATTGATTGTTTTTGAAGTGACTGCAATGAGTTTTTATTACACTGATCGTGAATCAGTAAGTTCAACTTGATTTATCATCTATTTATTTAATGATTAAAATTTTTAAAGATGTGAATTTTTATTAAACATCGTTTATATTCAAAATAAAACTTTGTGGTTGGTGTTTCGTTGTATGAACTGCATGTCTTGGTTGTGGAGCTTTTCTTGTTCTACTGAACAACATCATCAGCACAAAGTTCATAGTAGAAGTAGCTGGTCCTGTTAACCTCGATCTTGATTGGTTGTTATTGACCTTAAACTTGTCGTTATCTACACCTTTATTTTGATTGTTTTCCACTTTTATCTTATGTTTGTCTAGGATTGTTTCTGGTTAATTAATTAATTTGGCAGATTTCGATGTATTCGTGTTAATTGCTTGATTGAGTGTCAAGCTTCTGAATATTCTCTGGTGTTCTGTGTGCTCCCTCTATTCAGTATTTTCACATTGTTCCAATCGAATGTATGTCCACAGTTGTTCGTATATATTGATATAATCGATTCTTATTCAGAATCACTTCAATCAATCCTATGTAGACCAAAGGACAAACTGACAAAGGAAGAAAAACCTAAAATATCATCTACAAAATAAATTGCTCAGATTGTGAAAAACACTACATAGGACAAAGTGAACGTGCTCTTTAGCTTCGTTTGCATGAACATCAGTTGGTAGTCAAACGCCATGAAATTTCTTCCCTCATACATACGAACAATTATGCTTAAACATTCGATTGGAACATTGCTGAAATACCAGACAATGAGATCACAAAGAACACTAGAGAATCGTTAGAAGCTTGGCAATCAGGTCAATCAGTAATCAACAAACACATCAACATTGACCTAACATATCAATCAGAAAAATCACAGGCGACCTAGGATCACGAAACAGGTCAAAAGGGGAATCCAACCAAAATAAAGGCGTTAAGGTCAGTAACAACCAATCAAGATCGAGGTTAACAGAACCAGCTACGATTCAGGCGTGAAGAAATTCGAATACTTCACTTATTCTATCTGAAGTTTGTGCTGATGATGATTTTCAGAAGCATAATGAAAAGGCTCTCCATAACCAAAGCATCCAGCTCAGAGAACGAAACTCCACCACAATCATCCATCTGAGCTACAAATTTTCTCTACCATCTCACAGTAAATCTTATTCATCGTGTTATTATGTATATTATTTTGAAAAAAATATTTTACAGTTGTTTTACACTGACAAACTGATAATTTTTTTCAAAGTTAATCTATGCAAGTAATAAATTATGGTCAAGAGGTTGGGCTTCCGCGGGCAAGAACATAAACGTTCTCAATTCGAATACTGTGAGTAGTAGGAGTCGTTGTTGCTCGTTACCACTGATGAGTCTCATACCGAAACGAAACGGCTATACAGTGCTTCCAGGTTTCTAATGGTGGTCTGACAACAAAAATCGATTCAT